AAACGTATATATATATATATATATATATATATATATATAAATACTCGACCCTTTATATATAAATACATTGTATTTAAATAAATTTTATTTAAAGATTGTCTTTGAAATATGAGAGTACTGAGAAATATTTTTACATCTCTCATTGTCAATGTTATCAAGAAAGAAATTAGTTCTTAATAATGCATAATAAAAATATACCTATAGGTATATAAATATACCTATTATATAAAAGATAAATTAGAACTGTGTGAAAACAAAATCGATAAGATTTATTTTAGTATAATTTACCTGCATGCATACAGACGAAATTATAAGAGAAATTGTGAGTACTCGTATAATCCGAGTATTCGTCGTTCGGCTCTGATAAGGCCATAGTCCGTAAAAGGACAACACCAGACGATTCACTCTATATTGCTGATCTACAGAGAACTCCATCTATTCTGATGATCATACGACAACTGAATAAATATTTGACAATAAAACATGGAAAAACATAAAATACGATGAAATTATTTCCTCCCTCTTCACTCCCATTATTATCTTGTACGAGAAATTTTTATCATTTCCTTAGCGAGGAAAAAAAAATAGGTGTCGTAAATTGCCCTTTTACACCGGACTTGTATTTGTACTTTTTGTACGTAATTATATTAAGTTGGAAATCGATCTGCTTCAAGCATTATACCCCTGGGAAAAGGTGCAGACGAGCACAAAAAATTGATGAAGTATAATTCTCTTCTTTCTCCGAAAATGGCGAGATAAACGTTATAACATTATAACAAAATTTTAAGGTATCTTCCCGCAATCTTCTAGACACTCTTTTTCCACCTAAAATTTTTATTTCCTCTTATTTTTTGACCAATGTTATGATAGTACAAATGAATATTATTTCTCATTAAAAATATGTGATGTGTGCGTATGCGTATGCACGCGCGCGCGTGTGTGTGTGTGTGTGTGTGTGTGTAAGTCGCGATATGTAAAGTCAACAGCAGTAGCGGATCCAGAAATTTGTCAAGGGAAAACCACTGACGAGCCGCAAGCAACAATTTTTTAAGATCAAATATAAAATATAAAGTTACTATTGGTATATTATATTAAAATGTATTATGTAATTTTATAATCCAGGAAACGTTTTATTTAAAATTATATAAATACAAAAAGAATAATATAATTTGTAATATATAACTTATAATGTAATTTATTATACATATATATATATATATACATATATATATAAAAGGAACCGCACCTTTAAAATCTTTTAGAAAATTTTTACTTATTGTAGCCATCATATGTATGTATATAGAAAAGTATATATATTAAGATATATGTCATTTCTAACCAAATATTTATTTTTAAAATTAATTAATTCATGATTAATCATTTTTACAAAAGCATTTGCTTAAATAATTATATGGTACATTTCTCTTTAATTATATCATAGTATTAAATTTATTATTGTTTCTAAAAATTTTATACGTAGAGGTATGTTCAACGTGTAATATCTATAATATATTTTAAATATTAGCAATGTGAGAAAGCTTGATAATAAAGAAAATTATATACATATAATTTAGTTGAGTTCAGTCTCGTGACGATGACATGTTACGCATGTTTCGTTCTGTTGGATTTAATTCATCCCATGATTTCCTAGCCAGCGTTAGCGTTGTGAAATGACAAAGAAAGGTGGCATATATCCCTATCTCTTTTTTTTTAATATATATGTATGGACAAATTAAATGTCTGGCCAAAAGTTTCAATGTTTATTCAGTTTTTCAATCGTAGACATAATTGGACATAATTATATAGTACCATTACGTCTATGGTTGCAAAGGATGTAAGGTAATTATTAAGAATACCCCGACCACTTCCGATTTTGACTAAATTAGGCTCACTCGACGTGTTTTTGCATAAAACGAAAGAATCTGGCAGAAATAAGCGTCGCTCTGCCCCGCAAACCAAGATATTAAGCGTTAAAGTTGACGAGTATTATCGAGGTTAGGCAAGTACAACCCAATATCTGAGAATGGATTGAAATGGATTAAAATGGATTCAAATTTTCAGAAATACGGATTCATGAATGTTAAAATGAATCCTTTTCAATTCGAATACGTTTTTATTCATTTATAGGAATTGCATGGAGCATATATCTGTATACTTTTCTATCATAAAATAATATTATATAGCTTTTTCAGTGCGTTTGTGATCATAGTGAATACTGTTCAATTCATAATTTTGAATAGGAAACGCAGTTCTTCAATCCAGTTGTATCCAATTGAATCTAATTGAATCCAATTGAATTCAATTGAATAAAAAAAAAGTTTTCGCTGTTTAAAATATGAATTCGAATAGACAAAATCCAATCCATTTTAATCCATTCTCGGATGCTGGGAACCCTACAATCGTTGTCTTCTATATGCATTTCGGTCTCAATGCGTATGCGTTTCGTTACTCTTCGGTCCAACAGGAACGAAATTTAAAATGTATGAAATTTAAAATGGATTAGAAATATTGCAAGCGGACCCTGTCTAGGCTGCAACTTCTAGATAATTAGGCCCCAAGCTGATGTTATTTAATTTTGTTTGGGGGGGGGGGGCAACCTAGCCGCCCAGAACCAAAGCACTATTGTCCATATGGGTTATGATTTATTTAAAATAGAATAATTGATAAGTACGTATTTATTTTTTGTTAACTTTTTTGCTTCTAATACAATTACAATTACAAATTACAATTATAGAAAACGCATGCGCATGAGATCGAAATGCATACAGAAGACAGCGATTGTAGGGCTGTCACAGCTTTCCTAACCTCAATAGTCGTCAACTTTAACGTGTAATATCTCGGTTCGCGGAGCAGAGCGACACTTATTTCTGCCAGATTCTTTCGTTTTATGCAAAAACGCGTCGAATGAGCCTAATTTCGTCGAAATCGGAGATGGTGGGGGTATTCTTAATAATTACCGGATGTAACAATTTTCTAACCTAAAAATTCACACAGTGGCACTGGTCACTCGAATCTTAAACGTGGTGTGATTGTTTGGAATTTAGTTCAGGAAAGGGAGATGAGCGATGCCGAGCTCCAGGAGGAGGAAAGAGAAGTGTTACTCTCGATATACGAAGGTGATCCGGCTTTTAAACAGCTGACACCCACAGTATTTCAATACAAGGTGCAAGAATGTCTTTTATTTTACAGCTTTTCTTCCGTAACTTTGTCAGATTGAACTTTTATGTGAAGTAATTCAGCGTAAATTGTAACAATACAAAAGATATTTGTATTAAAATAGTTTTAATATTTGTATTGAATAACTATTTTTATACAAAAATATACTTCATAATTTATTATATTCAACGGTTTTTTGTATCTCTTCAAAGAGTATCATTTAAAAAGTTCAAATATAACGTTTGTTCCATTTTATAATTGTAAGAGAAGAAAAAATTAACTCTTAATTTTAATCATAAAATGAAGTTCAAAAGTAGTTTGTTATTTGCATGTCAGGTTAATTTAGAATTGAAATAAATTATATATATTAGTGATTTATTATATAGTATGGAGAAGATAACGATATGAAGTCATTTCTATTGGAAATTTCATGGGGCACAACATATCCTACAGAAAAACCAACTATAAATATGAATACATTTTACAATAAACATATGTAAGTGCTGTCAAGCAATTGTTCAACTATTTTTGCTCATTTGATTACTTTGATTAAAGACAAATAATTGGAATATACAGTTTGCAAGAGGTCAAGGATAAGGTGGTGAATCATGTAGAGGCAGAGGCTGAGCAGTGGTTAGGTAGTGCTATGACATATACATTATTTCAATCTGTCCAAGAACATTATGTCGACTTAGTATGCACACAACCAGACTCAATTGCCGATATAAATTCACATACTAGTAAGCTAAAACTTACAGAAGAAAACCAACAGGTATATCCCCATTCTGTTATATGGAATAATGATATACTATTATTAAAAATTATTACAAGCAAAGTGATATCTCAATGCTCATAAGGTTGAGGAAACGATAAAGAAACCGAAGAAGGAACATTTAAGTAAAGCCCAGAAGCGTAGACAATGGAACAAGGCAGATGGCAAAGGTGAAAGACAGCGAGGATGGAATTGGATGGATATAGTAAAACATTTATCACAGACTGGACCTAGAACGGAGGAAGAATCATAATCCAAGACCATAATATTTTGTACAGTATGACAGGTGTATTATATTTTTATAAATTGTTGGAAATAAAATCATTTCCTTATCTATTTTTCAAAATGACTTTATTCTCATATATTATTTTTATTTTCTTATTACTAAGTAAAAAAAATATTTTAATATTAAGGAATAATGAGCAATTCTAAGAATAATTGCTCTCTCTCACACACACACACACACACACACACAAAATTTATTTCTAGTATCATTCAAAAATAATTGTTTAATCATTCATTATTGTCCATAGAAAACCTCCATGCTCCAACTGCTAATAGATTTATTCCCGTTTTCCATCCTAAAATTATTAATAGATACTTATATTTGTACTTAATATTAAATCATTATTTATTTAATGAAATTACATACCATTTATCTTTAGATTATTAAGGAAAGTTTTATACTCATTAGAGACGATTACGTCTATAGCAGTGACACTTTGTAAAGTTATTGACATGTCCCAATGTGAAACAGTATTTATCCTTTGCAGGATATATGTATTCAGCAATGGATATGATATTTCGGATGTTTCAGACTTCAATAGCATATCCTGTGTGATATCATAATTACAATAAAATATACATAAGTAACAAAAGATATAAAAAATGCTTCGATTCTTTTTCTTACTATTGGTATTTTTCTTGCCATACAAAGATAGAAAGCACACATAGAAGCATAAAAGTATGCTTCCAATATTCCAACAGATTGTAAATTTTTTTTCAAAATTACAAATATATTCCTTTTTTCAATATCTATCGTTATTATGTACTGCTTGTTTTCAAAAAATTTTAATAAAAATTCCATTTCTGTTAGTGAAATTATTTTCCTCTTCAAAATATTTGCAAATGATACACCAATTTTTATATCAAAACCGTGTATGCGTCTAGCTAAAAATAATATCCATAAATTGTTAGAAATTTTTTCTTATATAGTGAAAAAAAACAAATGATTAAACAATTTTAATATCTTACTAGGATTTTGAAGTAGAAATACTGATTCTTCCTTATTTACTTCCCATGGCTCAGGAATTTTCTCGTTCATCATGTAATTTTTAACAATTATAGCCAGACGATCTTCATTAAGTGTATCTAAACATAATGCTTTAACCGCCGAATAATTTGCATAGAGATGAACTGCCACCAGAAAGAGATACAGTTCTAATACATATCTATATGTATATATGTATATATTACTTCATCATTATTAAAAGAATTTATAACAGCAATCAGATATGATAAGTATACAGATACATACTGTCCATCATGGAATAAAGATAATATAAAGATTCCAAGGAATGATGCAATTAGATTTACGCAAGTCTCTTGACTTCCGTCTTTTGCAGAGACATCTGCCACATTATTTTGTATTGCCTATGACAAGAAAATAATCTTAGCACAAAGTTAATATACACATGAATAATTATACCTGGTGATGAATCAATGCTGTTCTCGTAGCTCCACCAGCAACACCGACGATGGACTTCATAGTCGTTGAAATACACAAAATTACAACAGAATACGAGGAGAAATATGGCACAAGTAATTCTAATCCTTTGGCAATATCATCTAAGATATCAGCAAATAGTCTCCACTTTTTACATTGTCCATCTAATTCAGTTCTATAACAGAAAGAAGCAAAACCTTGTTATCAAGCTTGTTACTTAACAAACGTACAAGTAGTTTTTGTTTTACTTGTTATTCATTACGTGTTAATGTGTAACATAAATAATTTTAGAGAATATCCGTTGTTATCTGTTCTTTACCCATTCCACCATGCGAACATTATACTCCCAATCATCCCAGTGCCATTCTTCAAGATCCACGTTATTGCTGCTGCCAAAGGTGTAGCATTTGACTCTCCGACTCCTATTCCTTTCATTATAGAATGAGTCGTTAATGTACCTGTTATAGTACTCGCAAAAGCCTGTAAAATGTTAATTTTTTCTTTATGTCACCTTGTCAATGTGAAATTGAAAAAGAAAAATTTTATAAAAATATATATTATTACATATATTACATTATTATATATTATAATAATATTCTGTATTATAATAACATAAAATAGATTGTAGTATCGAACAAACGTGTATCAAATATGTTTACTTTTTTAGATTTAAACTAACCTGTACCGTGTCCCATATTTGATACGCAGTATAGTCAGAATGCACACTGTCCGGATATCCTTGTGGCAGAAATATCTGTTTGAAGGTAGATACGATCCCAGAACGAACGGTTTGTGACTCAATGAGACCGAATTTTCTTTCACTTGCGCTGAAATCATCTGGCGAATCTAACCAACAGACGTCAACAAATCAATGCAGGGTTAAGTTGCGGTTGCTGTGATAAGTAGAGAATGATAATCGATCAATACCTTACCGTCTGGTTTTAAATAAACTATCTCTTTCTCGTTCCCGTAAATTTCGCGAAAAATAATGTGCATATTCGTAGAAAAATGACGTATCAAAATTTACTCCATTCGCTCATCACCACGTTTACTGATAAGTGATACGTGTCGTCTGCTATTTTAAATTCATGTATGGGTGCGTTCCACTTAACGTTCGCAACGATCGCGTTTATCATCTCACTCTTACTTAATATTCGATTACAAGAAGGACAAAATGATACTCGCGAGCGTTGCGAACGTTAAGTGGAACGCACCCTATGTAGTACATACATACATATGCATCGGTTGTATGGAGCAACCACAGTACCATATACCACTTCACATTTTCGAAAGGATCACAAAAAAAAGACATGGAAGTCTTCAAGAGAGGATTTCTTGTGATATTCAATTATCTTCATTCTTTCTGTGATTACTTTCAGATACTTTCGACTGCGAAATGTGAATTAGGGGTGTGATACTGTGGTTGTCTCCAATACAACCGATGCATATATATTTATTTTATTTTATTTTTTGGTATCGCTGCCCCAGCATCCGAGAATGGATTAGAATGGATTGGACATTTTGTCTATTCGAATTCGTATTTTAAACAGCGAAAACTTTTTTTTGGATTCAATTGGATTCAATTAGATTCAATTAGATACAACTGGATCGAAAAACTGCGTTTCCTATTCAAAATTATGAATTGAACAGTATTCACTATGATCACAAACGCACTGAAAAAGCTGATATTATTTCTTGATTGAAAAGTATACAGATATGCTCTATGCAATTCCTATATAAAAACGTATTCGGATTGAAAAGGATTCATTTTTAACATTCATGAATCCGTATTTCTGAAAATTTGAATCCATTTTAATCCATTTCAATCCATTCTCAGATATAAGACCTCTGTTTTGGCTTGTCAATAGTAATATTTATAGTAATATTCATGGTGTAATAAGACAAGGTGAAACATTTCCGTGGATGCGCAGTATAGAGTATGCGCTTCGTCAATCACGTTTGGGTTCAAATGCAAAATTTATGTACACAAATAATAACATATAATTAAAATAACAAAATAATATCTTTTATATATTATAAAATAAAGCAACAAAAAATTAATTTTTAATTGATGAATTAAGATGTAGGTAGAATATAAAGTTTATCAATAAAATTAATCCTATATACGCACACCTGTGCACGCACGTGCACGCACGCACGCACACTACGACACATTTTAATTTATTATCACAAAAATAATCAAAACAAGTATATATGTAAATTAAGAACAACATTTGACAAAGTTTTAACACCTTTAATTTAGACGTTCTTTGTTGTTTCTTTTTTGTTACCAAATATTACAGAAGCATCGCCGATTATTCCGTTTAATTCGGCAATATGCGAATCCAATCTTTCTTTGATTTTATTTACGTCACTTTTTTCATCGACAGTTATAATGGTTTTCCGTCCATTACTTGAATCCATTTCGCGATCGACGATTTTTCCGCTTTGTGAGTTATCCTCGCATTTACGAGCTGCACCGTTCACCATTTTATTTACGTAACTAAGTTTAGTAATTTCTTCTTTATGATTTTGAGATTCATATCGTGATCCGTTTTGTTGCATCGGGGAATCATTTTTACGTATTAAGGTTCTTCTTAGCCGCAACTTTTCAAGAAGATTTATTTTCACTTTGCGATACTTCAAGTCGTTTTTCAATTTTTCGCTGTCATGAATATTTTGCATTTGTGCGGATAATCCATAATCGTTTCCATAAATGATCCTTTCTATTTTCTCTTCACTCATTTTCTTGAACTCGTTTTCCTTTATATTTGTATCATTTATTTTTTCTTCCGTTACTTTACGAGATTTGTCGCTTATTATTATTGACGTATTTGGCAATCTGTTCACTTCAATTCGTGGTCCAACATCAAATTTATTCGCTGAAGCTTTTTTTCTCTTTGCTTTTCGTCCCAAACCGTGTCTTTTCGATTTCAATTTAAAACAATTTAAAAAAAATCGACCTATATCACTATGACATCCGATTAAAACACATTGTACGCCTCTAGAAATTTTCTTTTTCTTAATTTTGAATGTAAAAACATTCGCAGGACTACAGCCCGTCTCGCTAACGACCTCGTTTCGATTCTCGTTAAGCAGCTTCCTCAGCTTCTCATTTGGCAACACCTGAAGTTCTCGCGTTCCCAGTGTCTCTTGTATCTTCCGGTCTCTCATCGGTTTCTTTCCCGGATTTTTCGGCGTCCGAAATGGACTTTCGATACGCCCCCGACGGTTCAGACATGCGCGATCTATTTGGCCGTTCATCATCTTCGATTGATTTATCGTCACGCGGGTAATCCTCTTTAAATACGGCCGCCTCGTTCGCCGCTTTTACTTCCCGTGCACGTTTCGCGAATGATAAACGAGCGGATAAATCAGTGCTGCCTGGCGAATCGTCCCTCTTAAAATTTCTTCGCGGCTCATACCGTGCACCCGTTCGATTTTCTCCGTTTTTCGTCGAATGATTAAATCCTGCTGGTGTTAAACTGGAATATCAAAATGTTTTCATGAGTGAAGTATTAATCGGTAACAATAATATATAAGCCACAAATCAATTTCCTCTTATTATTTTGAATATATAAATTCTACAATAGATGTAGATTTAAAAATATGTATTATAAATTTTGTTTGAATCATCAACAATTATTCTATAAGAGCTTAAAAACTGATTACTAGAATATTAAAACTTGTTGCAGTAGTGTTATCAATGTTTAAGCGTTCTATATAATTATTTAACAAAATTATTTTTAGATGTAGTTAAATTTTTAGGTATTTCAGTAAAACTTTTCTTTTCGTGTGTATCCAATATACTTATAATATCTATATATATTTTTTAAATTATTAAAAATGTATTTATGCTCATTTATTTATAAAAAAAATTGTAAGAATATATGTTAATTTCTCAGTAATCATACCTTGATAAATTATTTGTCACAGCTGAATGAATTATGTTTTCATTTTTAAATGCAACAATTTCTTCTCGTAATCGAAAGATTCCGATGTTCAGTTTGGTTACCGCGGCGATGATATTATCAATACTAATTTCTGTATTCTCAGATGAATAGTAATACGAGTTGGAAGGTAGTCCGTTATCTGCGATATGTATATCCATCTACTACTTCTAAACTTCTAATTATTATGAAAAGGAAATAAATTTTTATAATATTTAATATTTTAGTACGGTAATAATATTGAGAGAGAGAGAGAGAGAGAGAGAGAAGAGAGAGAGAGAGAGACAATAATAATTACATTCATATATTTGTTGTTTTACAAAAATTACTCTTAACGTCAAGCAATTTTATTATTAATCAGAATTTTCGAAAAGTATCTCTATATTTATTTCTCTTCTAACCACTAAGAAGCATAATTACTAATCGCAACCATGTAGCATCGTTTATTTTATATAATAACGTCGCATCGACGTTAAATGTCAAAATTAATACGAACAATCTTCACGTTGAAGAGACAATTAATTTTCAGAAAAATTAAAATGTAACAAGGAAAAAAAATAATAAATTTAAGATGTAATCGTTACGTTATAAAAATCCCGAGATGGCCGAAAATAATGTTGACAACATCCTGACGCGCCTTGACGAGATCGAAAAGTTACAAACAGAACTTCGGCATTTAGTACCGCGGGTCACGTCGTCCAGACACCTACAGAATGTATCTCGTGATTCACCCGCGTCGAATCGGTTCCCATCTCTCTTCACGTTTCCCGCAATTTCGAACTTTACATCAACCCCGAAAAACGAACGTGTGCAAAAGTCAGCCGCGCGGTTGAACCTCAACAGCAATTCGTCGAGCGGCAACCGACATTCGACGGTAAATTTGAAAAATACAGGAGGATCTCAGAGTAGAACAAGGGAAGCAAATATTTTTAAAAATCTATTGAGAAGCAGTAACAACATCACCAGCTCACACATGAGAAATTCTTCGACTTCAACCTCTGTAGCGAATTCGACGATGTCGCGTAGGACCAATATCGCAAATCGAATGGCTAGGGATCCACAAGAAGCAATTAACAAGAGATTGAACCGCGAAACATCGAAGACTATAGCCAGAGATAAAACGCCGCAACGAGCAACTGGCGAGAGATCCAATGTGCAGTTATCCAGGAATAAAAATGTGAACTCAAGTGAATGGATATACTTTTAAACTTCTGTGCTGTGTTTTTATTATTTATATAATTGTTTATTATTAATATTAAGAGATTTTTTATTTTCCCTTTTTTTCAACTTCTTCCTTTTTTATTATTGACTAATTGATTCTTAACCTTTAGTATATATACTGTAAATTTTCTAATCCTTCACTACATATGATAGGTTGTCATTTGTGTTCTGGATTAATTTTCATTACTTTATATAAAGTATACAAAAGTTATGAAGTAATTCTTATTACATATATTTTCATATCTTTAGAAAATATTTATAAAGTTGTGTATTAAGAAAAGGGAAAAAGAGATCATTTTATTATTTAATTAAATCTAGTATTTCAAAAAAATAGGAAAGAAACGCACAGAGCACGAATAACCCAATCCTATTGTGTATTAAAAGGCTTAATTTTTTATTATAAACTTGGAAAGAAAAGGGCACTAGGAGTTAAGCGCAGATAACTTTACGCAAAAGCTGATATACATATATCAAGCAAAACTTATTTATTATAATAATTGTTTATAATAAATAAGTTTTGCTTGATATATATCAGCGTTTGCGTAAAGTTATCTATACTCTTAACTCCTGCCCTTTTCTTTCCAAATTTATATTTGAATTGTACAGAAATATTTGTTACTTAAAAATTATTATACGTTTTAATTTTTTATTACTTTTTAATTTTATAATTTCGTTTGACTTTCTCTCTCTTTCTCTCTCTCTCTCTTTCACTCGTATTCACAATATAAGCTCTTTGTAGATATCAGACATTCAGGTTCATGAGTCAGAAGCTACAGAATCAAGAGGCACACATCCAAGAAATCGATATTATGAAAGAAATTGCACTTTTATCGAACGATTTATGGAGAAACTGAACTACTGTTTTATAAACAATAAAAGAGTGACCATCCCATATCATCATCCAGGGAACAGAACACCCAGAAGAATGCAGATACCACATACACCAACAATTAAAGGGAAAGAAACTCCGCGATTACACGAGTCTGAGGCGAAAATGTTTATCAATTAAAAATACTTGAAAGAGTCAATTAACAATATGAAATAATAATACGATATATAATAAAATTTTATTACATTATGTGTTTTTATCAAAACGATCATAATATATAAACAAATTTTAGAGCGATATAAATTCTATAATACATACATCTGATTTGAAATTAAGGAATTAAACATTGCTTTGTTTTTTATACACGTGTCAGTCTTCATTAATTATAATCAATATAAAATATAAAATAGAAATACCCTTCATCGAATTTCATGTATTCTCAATATATCCAATGACTATATATGTATAGTATTTTCAATCCTCTTTGTTTCAAATAATATTTTAGACAATTGTCACTAAAAAATTTAAAGCTCGGACTATGAATAAGGATCTTTTGGATTTTGATTGATTTATAATGAAAATAACCGCAAGTCAATAGTCGCAGAAGAAACATCGATAGTTTTCGATAGCTGGTGCAAGTTAAACTATCGATAGTAATATCGATATTTATCCATTTCAACATGTCGTCGAATCGGTCAGTCGAATAAAGGCTGTTTGACAATTTATAATTTTCAGGTTATCTGTAAAAAAACAATCACACGAACGTACATTGTGTCGTTTTATTTTACTTATAAAATTGTGTTGTGTTATCGTCATGTGATGTAAAAACTACCATCACTACTTCAGTTGATTGTGATTATCTAAAAAGGATGTGACTATAACTATTTCAATTATCAAAAAATTAATAATTTCCATAACGAATGATGTTACAGTACATATATATGGTACTGTTAGATTTTTTCGAATAATAATACTGATATATTTGCATTAACAAATAACACAAAAATGGCGCTTGTCAACATCGAAGGAATCGATCCTTGGTAAATTTATAAATTATATTTTATAAAATTTATTTACATTTCCAATCTATATTATATATGAAGTTCAAGCAATGACATTGCCTCTTTATTTGAATTAATTATTAGTTACTTTAATTTCATTATATGATATAACAAAGAAATTGATTATAAAACTTGACTTTGTTGTGTTTAGGCTTACGGAATATGACGCATGTGAGAAATTGTTTCGTGAAATTATGGAACAGCTCACTATGCGTGATGGAGAACCAAAGACGTCAAAAGTTTATGCCAGCTTGTCAGCTAATATAAGATTGCGTATGAAGCAGTATACGCGGGAAGTTCAGCAATTGAAGTCCAAAGTGGAAGAAGCTTCTAAATTGAAAACAATGTATTCTTCTGTTTATATATATATATATATATATATTTGTTTATTCAGTATTAATTCAGACTTCAAAATAATAATTGCATAATGATACATTTTTTTAATATATCATCTATATGACAGAACGTTCGAGGAAGCTGAACGTCGGACGAGACAAGTGGAACAGCTACAAAGCAAAGATATTCAGTTACAAAAATTATACGAGCCACGTACAAATGATTATATATCATCGCGTGCTAGTTTATTAAAGGCAAGCTCGTCAGCTTTCGCTGATGGAGGCACAACTTCTTGGGCTGCTGATGATGATGATGACAAACCATTAGATGTCCAAGTATCTGTCAATGATCTTATGAGTCATCAAGAACGAGTATTATTAGGTAGGTAATAATTCTTAGATAATAATAAAAAATTAATAAATACATTGTGCATAGTTCTAATTTCTTGCAAAAATATTAATAAATATACTGTACATTTTGATTTCTTGTAGAACAAGACAAAGGCTTAGAAGAGCTATGTAAAGTGATAGCTCGCCAAAAAGAAATTGGACAAACAATTAGTAATGAAGTGGATCATCAAAATGGTGAGTAGTATAAAGAAAATTTATATTTAAATAATGTAATATAGAAATAACTTAAATATAGAAATAACTTGAATTTTATTATATTGTAATGTAGAAATAATTGATGATCTGGCTGACCATATGGACAGGACAGATGAATCTTTAATTAACAAGACTCAGCAGGTTCGTACTATTAATTCCAAAGATCGTACGTGTGGTTACTGGATAATAATACTTATACTTTTTATCGCTATTATTATTGTTTCTTTTGTATAGTGGATATTGAATATATATTAAGTCTATTATGAATTGTCTACACCATTTCAATTACATAAGATATTTACAAATAATTAAAAATGTAATATCTATCAATGATAAGACATTAGTTATGATTGATTAATGATTTTTGAAATTAATATTGTAGATATATAAATAAGATATGTATATAAATGTGAAATAATATTTGTTAATACTGAAAATTTATTTAATATGTATCGTTTAATGTTTATTTTTATATATATTGAGGTACTGTTTTTTTAATGTAAAATTTTATCGCATTAAAATATATTCAATTAGCATTAAGAATAAAATCAATTATTTGTAAGGACAAGTATTTCTATCTTAAACATAAGTAGGGACTTGTCAGATGTTGGAAATGGAAAATAAAAGGGTTGATATAATCAGACTTGTTAAATATTTTTCATTTTTCTTTTTTTTTTGTCTCTTTATATCATAAATATCTATCCCGAATCTGGTTCTATGCGAACTTTCTCGGCGCATAGGGATACAAAGAAAAAGATCGCTATTATTTCTCTGCGCTTATTTCATTCAAATAAAATATATCAAAGGAGTCTAGACTGCCTTGTGCCAGATACATCCGCTATCTCAGTTTTGCCAGCATTCGTAATGAATAGTATCTCAGATAAAACAAATGCCTGGACTCTTTTTCTTTTTTTACAACCCGACGCAAATTATTTGGATTACTATTGTTGTCTGTAGGAGACATGCTATCAGATTGAAATACATATGTACAATTGGCGCAATAGTTTTCCAGCGGATATATCACATAAATTTACAATATCGTCCAATTTCCTTTGTTTCGCAAACTGAATTTATTTTTAGTAGCTGCTAATCGCCGAGAGCATGTCGCTCTTTCATAACATACAGTGAGATCTCGTTACAACGCCCCGTGTCAAATCTCTGAGTTAATATTGTTGTACTGCAAATTGTCCTTACATCGAAATCCTCGCATATTGGAACATCTTGCCATTGAGTTCAATAAAATCTCTGCTCTCTGTCTACATCTCTGATTACAACAGAATTTCGTTGCGCTAGCTAGCTATTACTAGAATTGATTTTTTCAACACAGAAATCGCTACAAACGTCACATCAATTATCCAGATTTTTGTACTGAACCAAATGACTTCTTGATCATGTAAGAACAGTTCTACGGATACCTGTCTACATTAACAGCCGATCAAACATTTATGCAACAGGGGATCATTTCCCTAAACAGTCAAAAATTAACTGATGTTCGAACTGATGCGCTACCTCTTTTTCAAGATAGAGGAAAAGAGGGTGAGAGCGAAAGAGGCAGCGGATCAATTAGATTTCAGTTAACTTTAATTAACTTTTGGCGATAGCTGCTTACACGACAGCGCAAAGCAAACACAATTAAAAGTTTTTTTTTTTTTTTTCTTTCAAAAGCGTCAGTCGAAAACATTCAGAGTTCCACGGTGAAGAACATGGACATTTTTCCATTTACAGGTAGCTGCGTAAATGTAGAATAGATTGCACATCAATAACGTAGCATGCACAGTGTTAATTGTGTGGTTTCGTAGCGAGATCAAAGTGGCTTGTGCGCTGACTCCCTTAGTTAAGACCAACATCCCTTACCTCAAACGAACTCTGACATGCTACGATACCCCTCTCTCTCTCTCTCTCTCTCTCTCTCTCT